CTGGCGGGACGCACACTTGGGCCTCGTGCTCCTCGTCGTCGTCGTCTTCGTCGTCGTCCTGGCTGCTCTCGTGGGGCGTGTGCTGCCGGCCGGAGCTCTCGGGGGCGGGGTGGCCGGGGGAGCCTTCCCTGGGGGGACTGGGCCCCCCAGCCTCCACCGGCCGTGCTCCTCCCGCTCTGTCCATGTGGACCAGACTGTGTGAGCAGCGGGGTCGCCGCGGCGAGCGCCGCCACCCGCTGCCACGCCCCCGCCACTCTCGCGCCTCTTCACGCTCCTGCTGGCCCTCCTGCGGCTGCTCCTCCTGCGGATGCTCCCGCCGTCGCCAGCGCCGTCGCTCGGCGTGGCGGGCGTCGCGGGGGGAGGCGGGCGGCGCCAGCGGCGAGCGGGGCGGGAACTCCCCCCGGGGGGAGGGGGTCGGCGCAGCGCCAGTCGGGCTGAGCGGCGAGCGCGAGGCCGAGCGGCGGCCCCGGGGGGCGGAGGACCCCTGGAGGAGGAGCCCCTGCGCGACCTCCCTGCTGGCCGGGCTGAGCGCGAGTTCGTAGGGCGGGGGGAGCGGCCACGGCTCCTGCGGGACGGAGCTCTGCGGCGTCCACGCCCACGCGTCGGAAGGGACGCCGCCCAGACTCGGCGAGTCCATGGGCGTGCTGGACGCCGGCCATACCTGCCGCAGATCGCCCTCCTCCCAGCCCTCCAGGCACACGGTGGCGCCCGTGATGCTGCGCCAGTCGGACGCGCCCGGCCCGTCGTCGGGGAACTGCGTGAAGGCCGCGTCCTGCGCGCCCGGGAAGTACGAGTCCTGAGAGGGGCGCGAGTAGGGCGGCGGTGCCCTGCCCGGCGGCGCGGCGGCGAAGGGGGCGTCGCCCGCCAGGACACTCACGGCGGGCGCGGCGCCGTGCGTGTGCCCTGAGTGCGTGGCCTCCGGGGTGGCCGTGGGGCGGGGGGAGGGCCCGGGGAGGCCGGGGGACCCGTACAGGCTGAGCGAGGGCGTGAGGGCGGGGTCCGGGGAGACGCCCTCCCACGAGAGCGACGCCCCGGGGGCGGCCGGCCCCGCGGAGAAGAGGTCAAAGGTACTTGGAGGCTGGCTTTGGGCGGCGAAGGCTTCGTGGGTCGGCTTCGGCGTCGAGAGCGAGGCGTAGGACGTGGTGACTGCGGGCGGGGGGGAGTAGGGGGCGAAGGCGGTGGTGGGGGGGGCGAGGGGGGGCCGCGGGTGCCGCATGGGGGCGTCGGTGGTGTCATCCATGCCAAGCAGCAGGGCGAGGGAGAGCGGCAAGTCCGTCAGAGAGGCGGCCACGGCGACGGTCATCCTGCTTGCGGTGTCCGAGAGCCTGGTGGAGCCGCACGTCGGGAGCAGGTGCCGGGAACGCGTCGGGGCGTGGGCGCGCGTGCTCGGGCGTGTTGAGCGGCGCGCGTGGGCGTGAGCGGTGGCAGGTAGGGCTGGCCGGGCGCCTGAGTCACGGGTGAGTCAACGCGCCTCAGAGGCTCGGGCGCCGCCGAGAGGCCCACGCGTGCTGTCTCCGCCGCGGGCGCCCTAACACATCGCGTTTTCTTTCACTCGAGCAGGGGAAACATTTCTAAAGCGAACGTTTCTCGGACGTTTCTCACTACACCTCGCATCACTGGAAACGACGAAGTCACATCGCACTGAACGGTTGTCACAACACTTTCGAAAATACTCCTTTTGCGCTGCCTCATAGCATGCGAGCACAGAAATTACCGCAGGTCCCGCCACGGTGACAGCATCAGCACGGCCCGCATCATCCCAGCCCCTTCAGGAATCACGGCCGGACCCACGAGGCGCTCTCACGGACAAAGGTCGTGCGAAGGATCACTCGCCAAGGTCGACACGAAGGCACGCGCACATAAAAGAAAGGGCGCTCGCAACAACAGCTCGCACTCCTGTCGGCGGAGGAGCGCGGCACACACACACCAAGGAGGTCGGAGCGTCGCGGACGTGTGAGCGGCGGGAGCGAGCGCGACGGCGAGAGTCCTGACGTCCCTCCGCGCGCGACGGGCACCAGCAGGCCGCGCCGTGTCTGAACAAGTGAAGCTCGGACGTCCCTACGCAGGAGCTGATCCAACCCCGGCGGCTGATCGCACTCGACTGAGGGCCTCTCCTTTTACTCACCCACGCACTCACTCATCCTCATTACTCACCCATTGCCTCACACCTGTTGGTAGCGCCCGAGAGACTCATTCGCCGGAAACAGCTCTCGCCGAACAACGGTGAGGACAAACCGGAAATGACGAAGACAGCGGACGACTCGCGAACGGGAGCGGATTATGTCACTTCTTCGCGTAACGGAACGACTGCGGCCGAGCTAGGTCAACCCCCCTCCTCCCCCTCCCCCTCATGATACCCCCTCACAGCCCCCCCCCTCGTTCCATCCCTCCCCCTATGCCCCCAATCTGTACTCCAGCAACACTGACCACAGGGCTGGTGTGGGTGGGTGGGCAGGTGGGTGGGTGGGCATGCCGGTGGGTGGGTGGGTGGGTAAAGGAT